CGACGAGAGCCTATTCCTGAGTTTGAGCGCAGGAGTTTTGACCTGGAGCTCATGGCGGATGGTCACTCTCTGAAGCCGACGGTTCTTCGTTGTCTGCGGAACCAGGTATGCGACCGTCCTACAGCTGAGGAGATTCACGATGCTGTCAAGTCAGCTGCTCGTCTCGTTAGCGATATGATTATGAATTCAGTAAGTACGACAATCTGTAGTGATTTCAGGCTCCGCTGCATAACGAACGTACTCTGAATGAAACGAATGCACTGAGCATGTTTTCATGCCCCTCATGAGAAGTTGCCGCAGAGATCCTGTACAATCTACAAGTCTTGTCTTCAAAAGTAAGAAGATGGTCATTGGTATCAACTTACTGTTGTATAAAGAGAGTTGTTTTTCAACCATGGGAGAACACAGGATCTGGTAGGGTTGCGTGTGTGGGGAGGGGGGGGGGGGGGGCAGGTCCCGTGGGGATACTGTACTCGCATGATTAGTGTCCCTGGCCTGGGCTGGGGCACTATTCTTCAATGTCCATCACAGATGGGGCACTATTCAAGAGAGGGCACTATTTTTCAATGCTGGTACATTTACGTCATCCCGCATAAAAAAAACAAAGAAGACAGGTATTTGATTTCGGCTATACCCGGTACCGACTTGAAAATAAGAACCGCCCAGGGTAGGAGGTTGACCGACACTACTGTACTGTAAATATACATAATTTCGGCAGGCACTTGATTTCGGCTATACTCGGTACCGACTCAAAATTCCAAAATTAAAGCGCTGATGAAAATTTCTAATCGGCTTTGGTGTTGTACTAGTATTAACCCCTTGCCGAAAATAAACCACTGCTGAAATGTCGAAAATCGTGAAATGCCGGAAATTTGCACCACCGAAACTTTGTACATTTACAGTAGTTTTCGGCCGAAACTCCGCCACTGACTTCGACCTGAAATCGGCCGACTGTGTTGGACGAGTCGGACTACCTGTTCACACGCAACGGCGAACGAGTTTGCGCATAGGTCTGTTTATGCACACGTACACTTGGTACATAGCTCTGCTAGATAGTGCCAGACGCTTGAGCAGAACTGGGATCTTTTTACACGAGCCACAGGACCAAAATGCTGGAAAGGCTGGCGTCTACAGTCCATTCATAAAAAGAGGGACTTCTAGCTTTTGGCCATAAATGGGCCAAACTTTGAAATTTTTTAGCATTTTTCTGCAATCCCCAATGGAATCCTCTTCCAATTTTGTTTCTGAAGTCTATTTCTCCCAAAAGCAAGCCCTAACAAGAAAAGGATTTTGGCCAGGTTTTGTCCCAAAAGCACTGAATCGGGAGAAATCGTAAAAATCCAGGCCGTTTGACCCCGCCTGCAACGCTGTACGGTTCGAACCCCAGTTCAGGTGCCCTTTTTGGACCTTTTTCCAAGTTCCAATTTTGCAGCACTGCACTGTGTACGATAAAATCATGAAAAATCGCCAAATACAGGAGCTCGCCAGAGCCAGGGACCATCTTTTTTATGAATTGACTGTAGTAGCGATCCAGTGCAGCCAGTTCACGATCTGCCCCGACGCTCCCTGCTGTCACGGTGAAAAGCCGTCAGTGATTGATTGGAGGTACCAGGTGCATGCGCGGCAAATTTGGTCAAATATTGAGCAGTCGATACTTGTCAGGGAAGGTGCGCTCGGCGGAGCCGGTGGTCCTGTTTAGAGAAAGAAATAGAGTTCTCATGGAATAGTCCAGCTTCATTTGTACTGCAATAATGGCCACTCCACTGACAAGCAACAGAACAGCGATCAACTCCCACACCTAAAACCTTCAGATCCCATTACTATATCATGAGCCTTGAGTCGTGGCAGTGCGACAGAGTCAAAACGAGTCGGCATTGAACAACGTTAGTGCTAAATTTCAGTGCACTCGCATAAAATCTTCTCCATTTGGCCAACTGTGCTTTCCAGAGATCTGATAATAACCAAATCGTACTTTCGTGGTCCTGTTGTGGAGGTTGTGTCCTGTCTGTAGGTTATACAAAATGCACCTTGTACAGACATTGCACACTGTGCTCAGTTTACGTTGAAGCTCTACACAAGTACATGCTGAGCATGACCGTCACTAAGGTTCTCACGCCGACACACCGTGCACACACCTCTTTTTATGCACTCTACCATACAATTCTCATTTCCCCGGCTGTAAAATCAAGATGGGGTGTTCTTCAGAGACAGGGTGCTCTCGCGGTACTTTGCTGTGCACATGGTTGTTGATTCTGTGCACCATGTGCATGCATCTCTACCCTATTTCCTAGATGCTGTTTGTGTGCTTTTATGAACTCCATTTTTTACTGTTCCATGTATCCCCTTGTCTTCTACAGCCATGGCGTGATCCCACTTCCATGGCTACAGTCCTGTCTCAAATGAGTACACTACTGCAGCATGTTCAAGAACAGCAGACAGCGATAGCTGAACTAGCCGCCAGGCAAGAGGAGACCAGGCTTCATGTGGCGGGCGTCAACGATCGTGTTGTCGCTATGGGCAGGGCGATGAACTCCGTTACTGGTAATGAATACGTAGCCGCTATTAGCCGACAGGTAAGAAACCTCGACGGTTACTTGTTGATTTCCTTTCTTTCTCATTTCATTCTCTGCTCATCTATTATTAACTGGGAGTCTATTTGTGCATGCTTGTGACCTACTAGTGATCCGCAGATGGACACTGATGCTTTCAAGGGTTGGGGCTTTGAGCTCGAGAGTACATTTCAACCGAGCATTGGATGTACCCAACATTGATACCGGGTGCACGATAACTCATCAGCTGTCCTAGCTGGCTTAGGTACAGGGTGCGGCAGCAGTGTCTAGGCAGCAGGCTGATGCTGCGACGGACTCCTATCCAGAAGCCGCACACTTTGCTCTTTATGAACGTGTAGGATCAAGCAGTGCAGGCTCTGTGGGCAAACATCTATGCAGGTCAGTGAAGGTGACTTGCGAGTACGCAAGGCCGTCAAAGCTGTCACAGCTGGGGCGGCTGAGGCCGCCCCACTTTTTCTGCCGTTTATTTATTTATTTATTTTTGCAGCGCACTGCAACAAAGTGCGATGATCGCAGCTCAGCGCGAGCATGGCAAATATTGAAGAATCCTTGTCCCCGATCGTGGTTTATTGCAGAATCAAAAAGTCTTTCATTGCAGTTACACTGAAATGGCACCAAATACCTGAAAATGCTTGCAACTGGCTTCAATTTTTGAATTTTTTCCCAGGAGAGGATAATGAAGAAGAACCCTTGTCCCCGATCGTGGCGTCTTCTTGGTTTGTTGCAGAATCAAAACGTCTTTCCCTGTAGTTACACTGAAATGGCACCAAATGCCCGGAAATGCTAGCAATTGGCTTCAATTTTTTGAATTTTTTTCCGGGGAGGGCCTCCGGAGCCCCCTTCCATTGCTGCCCCACCCCCAAAGTCGCCGGGACGGGCCTGGTACACTCATACATCGCTCATCCGGGCGGTCAGGGACCTGCCACTGCCCATAACTTTGAATTGTCCTTAAAACTCTGCAGTGAACTTTGCACTACACACTGCAATATAATATATTGCAGTGCTGTGTAGTGCAAAGTTCACTGCAGAGTTTTATATATTATAGTGGCATAATGGCATAGAGGCATAATGGCATAGAGGCATAATGGCATAGAGGCATACATTGCATTTTGACTGTGACTTCCAGTCGCCTCTTTATTGAGTCTCAGTTTGCCCTTCATGACAATGTGTCCTCGTGCTGTTCACGTTAATGCTGGTGATGGTGATGGTGGTTGTGGTGCTGGTTGTGGTGGTGGTGCTGGTGGTGATGGTGGTTGTGGTGCTGGTTGTGGTGCTGGTGGTGCTGGTGGTGGTGATGGTGGTGGTGGTGGTGCTGGTTGTGGTGTACCGATTTTGCTTTTGATGTTGCTGGTGATGGGGCTGGTTCTGGTTCTGGTTCTGGTTCTGGAGCTGGTTCTGGAGCTGTTTTTTTTTACGAGAAACCACGAACCTCGAGAACAGAATACTGCATGATAGAGGTGGTTGCAGACGCAACTGTTGTTGGTGGTGATGTTAGTGGTGGTAGTGCTGCTGCTGCTGCTGCTGGTAGTGGTGGTGCTCTTGTTGGTGGTGATGTTCGTGCTGCTGCTGCTGCTGGTGATGTTCATGGTGGCGGTGCTGCTGCTGGCAGTGGTGATGTTCGTGGTGCTGCTGCTGCTGATAGTGGTGGAGCTGGCAGTTATGGTAGTATAGAGTTTCTGCTGCACAGAATTACGTATCAAACTCCGGGTCAACCGCGGTGAAGTTTCGCACGGATTTTTCATACGTTGCACCAGTTCTGATGTTCATGTTCTGATGTTCATGTACGTGTTCATGTATGGAATACATGTACACTTCTCGCCACTTTTACTCGACTCTGTGCGTTAGTTATGCTCAAAGTGCTTGACACCGTCGCAGAACAGTCCGTGTAAAGTGCACGCCATGCGGAGAACGGTGTGAAAATATCCGTGTGAAACTTGATCTCGAATCCCGGCGAGGATTCCATGCGTACTTTGGTACGTTTTGCCGTGTAGCAGAAACTCTCCAATGCCGGTGGTGTTTGGCGATGGTTCTGGTGGTACTGCATTTGTTTTTGCTGTTGCTGTTGCTGGTGCCGCAACCGATGGTGCTTGTGCTGGTGGTCCTGCTGATGCTACTGGAGGTACTGTGGCTCGTGTTTGTGGTGGTACTGGTGGTGGTGCTCCTAACGATAGTGCTGGTACTGGAGCTGCTCAAACACAACTATACTTTACATTAGAATATGTGTTGTACGAAAACTTGTTCGAATCATCTTTTTTCCATCGCTTTTTTCTTCTTACATGTATTTTCCTTACCCTTTAGATTGTTTTTTTTTACATCGTCTCCATTGCTTACATTGTTAATAAAGTAATCCAAATGTCACTCAGCTCGTCCTACTTATTGCCATAATAAAATGTGTGTTTTCCATTCTTCTGTTGTCTGAACTGTTCACAGATACAGTCTCTGAACCAGAGATTTGCTGATACCGACGAGCGAGTTCGCACAATCGATGAGCGGGGCAGCCGAATGGAGCAGAGAATCTCGGCTATCGACAGTCGCAGTTTGGACATGGAGCAGAGAGTTGCAGCGGTGGGCGATCGTAGTGCCAATATCGAGCAGAGAGTTGTGACTATCGACAATCACAGTTCAGGCATGGATCAGAGAATTACGGCTATCGACAATCGCAGTTCAAACATGGAGCGAAGAGTTGTAGCGGTGGACGTTCAAAGTGCAAATATAGAGCAGAGAGTTACGGCTATTGACAATCGCAGTTCAGGAATGGATCAGAGAGCTGCAGAGCTGGGCGACAGCAGCACACGAATAGAACCGCAAGTTGCAACGGTGGACAAATGCAGCGCAAGAGTGGAGCAGGGTGTTGCGCCTATCTATGATCGCGCTAACAGCATTGAGCAACAGTTGGGTGAGGTGATCGATGGTGTGGCTGCACCGAATCAAAAGGTATGCAGTGTAATTCACACGCGATTGTTCATCAGCATATCTGGGATGTTCTTTATCAACATTGGTTGATTATGGAAAGATCTCCTCCGTTCTTGACCTCATCCCTTGTTCAGCTGTGAAACAACAGTCTATGTGTAATCTCTATCTTCTCTCTCGCACATGCACACACGCCCAACATTCTAGACTGACAACCTGCTTGTTAAATCACGCACTTGCTGTCAGGTGTATCACATCGGTTGTAGAGTTCCAATGTTTTAGGCTGTATTGTCTTTCGAAATGAACACTTTTCTCTCTCTCTCTCTCTTTCTCTCTCTCTCTCTCGCGTACGCGCGCGCACATGTGTGTGTGTGTGTGTGTGTGTGTGTGTGTGTGCACTGTTCTATCACAGCCCGTAGTTCCACTGACACAATCTGAGGCGACAAATGGCTCAGACCCATTCTCTACTGGACAGGAACAGGTAAGACGGATGACTAGGATCGGCTAGGGAGCATGCGCATGCAGTTAAATATTGCTGAAGTATATACTAGTGGTGTGCACGGGTAGTCGGGTACCCGTGCTACCCGTGAGGACCTCGGGTAGACGGGTACAGAATTGTACCCGAAAACCCGAAGTCGCAGGTGACATCATGTATACAAATTCATGTAATATTCCGCATGTCTACCCAGTGTGTAAGGGAAGGGGTGCATTGTGGTGTTACCATAGAAACAATACCCGATCGGGTACCCGTGTTACCCGCGGAAAACTATCTGAACCCGATACCCGAAGAAAGTGCTACCCGACTCGGCTACCGTATAGTACCGTGAAAGCCCCCCCCCACCATCTCGTCCTTTCGTGGTGGTATTGTAGAGGCGGTCTCCTGTCTGTAGGTCATACGACGCAAATCTTGTACACACATTGCATGCTGTGCAGTCAATCCATACAAAATTTACCTTCGTGAGGACACGAGCTCCACAAAAAACCTAAGTGTGACCTTAGTACGTTAAGGTTCTCCAACTGTAAAAACTCTGTTGCACTCTGTCATGATTTTCCTTTCCCTGGCTGTAAAATTAAGGCAGGGCGCTCTCGCGAGACTAGGCGCTCTCGCGTTACTTTACGGTACTAGCCTTGTCAATGTGCCATGAGCTATGAGGTCATTGTCCCTCAGACAGAGACAGAGACAGAGGTATCAGGGGTGCGGCCAGGGATCATAATCAAGGAGGGTGTCACGAAGTACATACGGTGTACACGCCTTTTAAAAGCTCTTTTGTGCTCTCTCTCTCTCTCCCACACTCTGTCTTTCACTCTCCCGTTCTGTGTCGCTCTCTCTTTCTCCCTGTCTTCCTCTCCCTTTCCTTCTCTCACACTGTTTGTTCTATGACAGCCCCCAGCATCACCTACTAAATCTGAGGCCCCAAGCCACGGTGACCCTGAACCCTTCTCTTCAAGACAGATACAGGTAAGTAGGATGACTAGTAACAAGTAGGATTCTTGCTGATATTTGTTGTTACGAGACGCCAGCTAATTAATTTACTTCCTCTAAGCCCTTCACACACACTCTCTCTCTTGCTGTCTTCCTCTTGTTTTTCTCTTGTTCTCTCTCTGACTTTCTCCCTCTCCCTCTTCGTGTCGCGGTCTATTTCGTCATCTTTCTTCAACCCTGCTCTATTTCAGCTTGCAGCAATATCTACACAAGTTGATGCTGCAAGTGACTCGGACACCCCCTTCATCAGACAGGTACAGGTTGTGCTTGCAGTTTCATTTAGTTTGTATAGGATTACAGTCAACTTCGCTTATAACGACACTCGGTGGGGTATCGAAAAGTGTCCTTATTCGCAAATTGTCGTTATACCTGAAGTCTCATATGTATTACAGTTGGATGGGATTTTGCTCTGGGCATGGACATTCTGTCGTTATTTGCGAATTGTCGTTATATCCGCAGTCGTTATATCCGCAGTCCTTATTAGCGAAGTTGACTGTACCACTTCCCTTGCGCCATTAGCTATGAGATGAATCCTTTAATCCCACACTGTTGATACAATGGCAGCACGAGACTATGGCTTGTGTCGAAACAACATAGAAGCACACAATCACTTGGCAAGTTCACGGCCCTTTTTCAGAGGCCACAAGGGTAGTTGACAATTTTGCTGTGTTGCAGGAGTTTTCCATGAAACTCACCGCATGACCAAGAGGTTGGGGAAGAACTGGTTACTATGGATACACAGGACTCATCTACAAGTAGCATCAACACAACGAAAAACATCAAAAATTCATTTTCTTATCATATGAACGAACAGGTGGTATCTGTTAACAAATTTCAGTGCTGATAAAGACAGATTTTGAGACTATGAACATTCTCCCATCGAATGTATCGCTTAGGCCTACCACTCCCAACAATTGAACTATAAGGGGAGGGGGGGGGGGGGGGATGATGTGTTCCTCTTTCTTATAATGTCAAGCTCACCTGTTTCTATCATCTTTACCGGACCCCATGCAACCTTTCATCCTCTTTCAATTATCTTGATGGAGCGAAAACGCACGTCCACTGAATCAACCTCAATTCACCTCTAATTTCACAATTCTAGTGGGCCGTCCGTATCTTTTGTCCCCAGTGGACAATTTGTGTAGTTTTGTGCTTCCTGGAAACATTAATGACAGAAAAAAAGAAAGAAAAAAACCCTGGACCGTCACTTAGTGTATTTCCCCGATTATAAGTCGCACTCCTATTTCCAGGTCCATGTCATATCGTTTCGGTATAGTCACTTCAGTAGTAATCATGCTCGATTGTAAGTCACACCCCCGTTGTTGGCTCAGAAGTTGAGTGTAAAAATGTGCGACTTACATGTATATTCGGGGAAATACGGTACTAGCAGGAGTGTACAAACACCAGAGCTACAGTGCAGTGTCTTAGTGGCAACACCAGAGCTACAGTGCAGTGTCTTAGTGGCAACACCAGAGCTACAGTGCAGTGTCTTAGTGGCAACACCAGAGCTACAGTGCAGTGTCTTAGTGGCAACACCAGAGCTACAGTGCAGTGTCTTAGTGTACAAACACCAGAGCTACAGGGCAGTGCCTTAGTGGCAACACCAGAATCCCGACATAAGTCGTCTGGTCTCAGCCATTTCTCTCTCTTTGCTCGTAACAAGTTGAGCATTGTTTGCTCAGCGCCTTGAGTCCACGTTTTTTTGTTCTGCTATTTTGAATGATTTCGACGTCCCTGAATAGCTAAGAAGGTGGAGAAATCTCTCATTCAAATACTGTAAATCAACAAATTTTTGCCGGTGAAAAACTTTCGCCGTGGGCGTGCAAGAGTCCAAAAAAAGTGATCGGTGTTTCATGCACGAATGTAGTACAAAGGTCGGCGTACTGTAAATCAACAGATTTTCGCTGGCGATTTAATTTCGCCGATTGGCATTGGCCGGCGAAATCAGCGAAATTTAATCGCCAACGAAAATTTGTTGATTTACAGTACAGTCGACTCCTGATATAACGAACACCATTGTGCGGGAGAATTAGTTCTTTATAGCCAAAGTTCGTTATAACCAAAGTTCTTTATAACCGAAATGCATTCATACCATACAAGCAACACAATGTGGCCTGTGACAGCAAGATTGCACTTAGTTTATAAGCGGGCGTAGAAGAAATGGTTCAGTATAAATGAAAACTGTTTGCTATAACCGGGTAAATGTTGCAGGGGTTGAAATCGAGACATGGACACTGGTTAGCCATATCACAAAATTCGCTCTATGGGAATAGGTGAAGTCAACTGTATTCCTGATGCAGATATGGAGCGACATTCCCGTGACTCGACCTTTGATCCCGGTGACTGTGTAACTCGCACAGAGGAGCGCTTCTGTTGCAAAGTTTGGATCCCAGTGAATCATGAACTGTATACAAAATTGAAATAAGAAAGTACCACGAATCCGCGTACATACGAGTAGCAGGTAAAGAACTACATTTCCGTTTCCGTGGGACATCCCACCCCATATGGTCCATAACGGGTTAATGCACCTAGTCATGATCTCTCTCTCTCTCTCTCTCTCTCTCTCTCTCTCTCTCTCTCTCTCTCTCTCTCTCTCTCTCTCTCTCTCTCTCGTTCTCTTACTTTTTGTACTGTTCCATTACAGTTCAGAACAGCAGCTGGGCAGGCGGCGGGGACAAGGCACTCTGGTCGTTCATCTGGCAGAAAATTGAAGAAGCTGCGGAAGGCCCCACCTCCGCCTTCACCAGCTGTCACATATCTGGTACGTCCCCATGCGGCAACACACTTGTCACACAGCAACAGCAACAGGCTGAACTTGTTGTTTCATGGACTATATGAGTAATTTGAAACTGTCCACCTCTCCACACTGCGCTCTTGGCCCACTGTTTCAAATTATTTTCAAATGGTCGAGTCCGTCGCAATTTCTGAGTTATATGAGTGGTCCCCATTTTGTTAGGTTGTTCGTGGTACTTTCTTATTTCATGTGCCTGGCATGAAACCGGCTCGACGTAATACTACTTATATGCTACAACAAGAACAGTGCAAGACAGAGCTGGAAAGTACAACACCATACAAGATGGGACTAAACTTAGAAGTGAATTAGGACTACTAAATCACCCCCTTCTTTTAGGCTATGGTGCGCAAGCTCGCGCTAACGCCGAGACCATAGGTCGGTGTTGTGGGCTTGCCTCACCAGCACAGGTTTGCTTTGCAGCCCCTACTCTCCCTGCTGTTTTGCTATTGTATATTCTGTTGTCTTCTCCCCTTCTGACCAGTAGGCTGTGTACTTAGTAAAAAAATAAATACTTGCATTTCCTGTGCGCCTGCACAAGACAGTACACTTTAACTCTGTATTACCAAGAGTATACTTCCTCCGCGTCATTGAAATTGTCGCAGTTTGACATGTGACTTGTTACTGACAACTCCATAAGCTAAACCATACAAAAATTATTACGTAGGATGATAGTCTGAAGTCTAGAGTAAGGTTCCAGGACAGGTGGACTGAGAGTTTCACACGGAGCTGAAAGCCCATTCGTCGCTGATGTCAATCTGTCCCCGGGGAAAATTGCGGAAAAAAATCGCAAAAAAACGCGGGGAAAAACGCGGCATAATATGGCATAATTTGCGGTGAATTTGCGGTAAACATGCGGTGAATAATATTGATGTGCGGCAATTTTCAGTGAGTATGTAGTGAAATCAATCAGTTACAAGTCTCTGGTGTAAGCACTCGTCATATTTGAGTAAAAAGCCGCCACGATGAGACGTTGCTGACCGAACAGTGCACTGTGTGTACGTTTAGTTAAACAAAAAAGGTCAAAAAACGCGGGAAAATCGCGGAAAACGCGGCCTTTTAAAAATCGCAAAAAACGCGGAAAAAAACGCGGCCGCGGAATCGCAATTTTCCCCGGGAACAGGTCAATGGACCAAAAAAATATCGTTGCGCAAATTTTCCAGGAAGGTTGTAAGTATAAGTTGGTCGCACCTCATCTGAAACGCTTTAACATTCTCCACAGTACAAGAGCTGCTATGCTTGTCGTTTGCTAACTCTGGATGATTTCTACTTCACCACCAATGCAGTAAGAATACGCGATCGTTGCGAGGTCGATTGATTACCGTCGGCGGAATCACCTCGATGTTGAAATGAACTTTTGTAGCCGTGGGATGCCCATTCATTTTAGTTGTGTGGTCATTGCTTATGCAGGTTAGTATACATGTCCTATCACGTCGAGCGTGCACTCTTTTTCAGCATCTCTGGTACAGTACCTGCACGTGCATCAGCAACTAGCACTACAGTGTACATGCAGAGTCTACACGGCCCTTGCAGGTACTCAGCTACTGATTGTCGCAGCATTCCTTTGCATGAATGCAAGAGCGATACATGTTTCGCTCTTGTATGCATTAGTTTGCTCACCCCTCGATGTTCCTCCAAGCGCTGCCACTTGTTCCACGAAGTCATTCTCACCCCAGCTCAGGTAAAACAGTGATGAGTTTTTGACTGAATGGCTATAAGCGCGAGAAATATGCAGGCTGCAACGCCTGACTGGTCTCAGCGAGTCTAAAGTACCATTGCAACGACATCAGCGAAGAAATTGTGTCTAGTTCAAAATTTTCAGCTTCTAACAACAGAAAATAGAACTTTGCCGTCACCCTATACTGATGACTATAGTCTATGTCCGATTCCTTAGCTGTGGTACGACTGCTTGTGAGTAGATACCCAGTTTTATATCATAAGTCAAACTGCGACAATTTCGATGACGCGGAGGAAGTATAAACAAGAGTGTGCAACTCCGGGATGGGTTGGCTTACGGTGGAATGTTTTATAGACGTCATCTTTTCTGAAAATCATGAGTCATACTGCAGGACGCACACGCTGTGAGTAGTTTTGGGACGTTTTGCCTCATGCACTTGGCCGGGCTTTACATTTTGCTAAACTTGCCATTTTACCTGATGAATTCGCAGCCTCCAGTTTTCACAGCCGAGGCCAATCGGAAAATTTGAAGTCGGTACACCAAGCGCATGAGCCTGTGAACTCAAGCAGCGTCCTTCTGTCATCTTCTGGAATCAGCTCGTTGTTTTGAGATGGATCTTATCTCTGTGTGGAAGAAAGCATCGGTGTGGCCCTTGGTGATCGACAGGTAGAAAACATGGCGGAAAACGCCGGCAGCGAAACGCTCGTCAGCCACCAAAGGGTTGCTGTCCATGAGTGAACATAAAACCGTGGGCGAAATATCACGCAGTGGAAAAGTTGACCACGAACCCTGATATTGAGACTCTCGCAGTCTCGGCACCTAATCTTGCTTGGCCGAACATCACTTCAAGTCGTGTCCTGCCGGAGGAAAGTGCACGACACACTTTTGACCTCAGCAAAAACCCGTGCACGGAAAAAAACTACAGAAGCGGGAGTGTTTTTCGTTTTTGAAAACACAAACTCGTGATGAAGGTCAGTGCCCATCACGTGCTCTGTACGACTCTCGTCATGTTTTCTGAAAAAGATGACGTCAACAAAAATTCCGCGTGGGCCGGTGTATCTGCTAGATTAACCCGACTGCAGCATGGACGATAAGTGCTGCGAATAGTGATCATGCACCCTGGCCTGAGTAGCTCGCTTGGCTAATTGAAAGTCTGCCGACCTGGGCCACATTATGTTGCTAATACATGCACAACCCCAGTCACAGCGCACAAGTTGGTTGAGTTTGGCCGTCAGGAGGCCAGCGCAAGGTATCCGGGGCGCGGGTCTGATTCCAGCGAGGGGCAATGTGGTACCCCGCAGCGCAAGGGTAGCGTGATACCCTAAGCCAACGTGCGTGCTGCATGAGTAGCGTGATACTCGCCGAGCGCTTTTGCTGTTGCCTAGCAACGCGTTTCTGTCTTTCCTGGGCCCCCAAATGCATGTTGGGTGGCCCTGCGCATGACTGCACGTTGTCATAGCAACCTTGGAAATCTCAAGCCGGTTACCAACAAGCTAGGAATCAGACCAAGCCGCCGAATGCCCCCGTCGGCCCCCGTCGCTTCATTGCAATTGAATTAATATTTTGTCCAGAATAGTGAGCTAGGACAGATCAAATACAATGTAGCTTGGAGTACCATCATGCTGAGTGGCACTCATTGTGAGACGTAGGATAGTGTAGACCGATAATAAATACCAGGAGGCGTGGGTGGGAGGGAGAAATTGCAAAACAGTTGGATGCACACAGCAGCACAGCTAGCAAGAGAAAGAGCCGTGGATGGGTTTGTTCCTGTTTTTGATGGCTGTGGCCATCCGTTCGCCCAACGGTCTCGTGTGAGTACGGCGTTTGTTTGTGCTGCCAGCTCGCGTCCGGCGTTTGTTTGTGCTGCCAGCTCGGGCCCGGTGCGCGAGTGAAACCAAACCGTGACAAAGGCTTTCGCTCTTTAGTGCTATTGACTGGCTTTTCATACGATGCCTATTGATGTCTAGAGACATGCTGTCTAGCCTTCCCCTGGTACGCATTCACGGGGCTTTGTTGAAGTTCGTGCCGTGAACTGCCAAAGGGAATTGTTTGAATGGTGCTGGGGCGAGTGCGACATTACGGCGTCCCTGCAGCCGGCCTAATCGCGTTTGTTGCCACAACCGATTTTGTGCAGAAGAGATGTGGAGTTGCACATTCTTGTTTATCTACTCTTGATAATACTCTTACGCCTCACCGCCTTGTAGTACTTTGAGGAAGGGCTCTTGGGTCTGCTCTCTAATGTCTTGCCCATGATCTAGGCAGAATAATCATGCCTTGAAGTAGAGCATTGGACAAGTACAGTACGTCGACACCATGGTAGAGAACTGGGTACAGCTATGATACTCTCCTGTACTGTAAAACCAGGAATTTTCGGTGGTGTATTATTTTCGTTTTTCCCAAAATCAACGGTTCGGTGGCACGAAAATTTCAGTAAACCAGTTTTCCATACCGCAGTCGGCATAAAATTTTCCTGTTTTGCAGCATAATCTCCTTGTGTCCCATCTGTTTAGTTGCGGAATCGGCATCTCTAGTACAGTTGTCTGCTGTTATTTCTGCCTGAAGACAGCAGTGAAACAATAGCTGCCACTAACAGTGTTTTTGATTCTCTTCCTGTTTGATGCTCTAGTCTGGGTCTAGCGGTGCTGGAGAAGCTGGAGTGACAAGACAAAGTGATCATTTGCTGAGTGGTCTGACTGCGCAGAAGATTGAACGAATCAACCAACAATCCAAGGTGAGCATGCAGAGTGTACGAGTGCTAGCATAACAAGAGCAACTGCACGACTTTGAGGAGGAGGGATTGAAGAGGAGGGGACATCTGCTGCAAACAACTTTAGAAAATCCCGCCCCTCAAGTAGCGCTGTGTATATGTCTTACTGGTTACTGGGATCTAGCCGCTGGTAGAACTCGTGTGCAATTTAGTTTAAATCTAAGATGCTTTAACTTATAGGGAACATCCATCCACTGACTGTTTCTTCTTGTTACGGTGTACCCTGCTTATCTCCAGTACAGTTTAGCATAGGCTGGTATTGGAGGCAGTGTGTGCGTGTGTGTGTGTGTGTGTTTGCGTGTGCGTGTGTGTGTATGTGTGTTTGTGTGTGTGTGTGTGTGTGAGAGAGAGAGAGAGAGAGAGAGAGAGAGAGAGAGAGAGAGAGAGAGAGAGAGAGAGAGAGAGAGAGAGAGAGAGAGAGAGAGAGAGAGAGAGAGAGAGAGAGAGAGAGAGAGAGAAGGGGGAGGGCAATGCGTTTCATCAGCCGGCAGGGGGGGGGGGGGGCACAGTGTGTTCCACCATCGGAAAGGGCTGTTGTGCCATGCCGCATAATCGTTGCCAAGGAATGGAGCCCGCTGATTTGCTACTCATCGACCAAAGATCAAGGATAGTGTCCTGGTGCGCAGATGGTGTAAACTGGCTGCTCGTATCGTCCCCTTGTTGGCTTCAACGCGTTTTTGCTCTAGCCCAGTAAGCACCAATTTCAAGCATCGCTGACACTCTACTCAGAGAGGTCTGAGGTCGCCTAATGACTCCTCTCCCTGCTGACGAAATCACGACGAAACAACAGTACAAGAATGCATGCGCCTACGCACCCATGCCATGGGTGCGTAGGCGCATCATGAGCTATGCTGGCGAGGTGCGGTGTACTCGGGATCAACGTACATGGCACACGCCAGAGGGGCAGTGTAATTGGAGAGGCCATTGTTGAGGGCTAAAAAAAGTTGCCTGCAAAGTGTGGCCAGCACATCGGAAAAAAAGGAAATTGTCCATTTGTGGAGTGTGTTGTATCAGTCAGGGAATGGGTGGGTGAGATAGGATGTTCCATCAGTTGGGGAATGGGTGGGCTGTGGTAAGGTATTCCATCAGTCAAAACCAAGAACAGAACTAGTGCTATAAGGTTGTGTCTGGTGAACATTAGGAAGGGCAAGTACGATGGTATCCCAGCCTCGAGTTTGGTGATCATTATTGGACATTGTTGAACAAGAAATATAAAGTTTGTGCAGCATTGTGGCAGCATTGAGTGATAACTACTTGCCTATCTCCAGCACGTGTGCGATGACACAGAGTTTGCTGTGCTTTCCGTGTTTTGCAGTGGACTAAAGTGATCTGTGGTACTGGAAGAGAAGTCGGGAGTACTAACATCGTCTTTGACGACTCTCTAGTTGTCATGTGTAGTGACGGGAATGGTGCGATCACCTGCATCCGCCAGTACAGCAACCTGGAAGCGTTTCAAGACTTCCCCATGCCGGAGAACACCGCATTTCACCCGGCGCTCGCTCTGCATGGCAACACACTGTACATGTTCTGTCACGAGGTAGCGAGGTCTCCAGTTATCCTGAAAATCACCGCAGAGCAAGGGAAAGCAGCTGGAGAGACGGGCCGTTGGGTGAAGGTCACCGATGTACCTTATGAGATGCATCGTTACTGCGCTATGCATGCTACCGGTAGCTCTATTACCCTTCTCGGTGGTGAGGATCAGTTAACCCTTTAAGAGCCGGAGGAAATTTTCAAAATTGTGCATTTTTTCGTGTTCTTTGGATCATAGCTTCAGTTCTACTCACTCAATCCTCACAATCTAGGGCTTCCTGGAAAGGTCTCCGCGAGAGGAAGAGAATGAGGTCGATGATGATAGCCAGCACACCGTCTATCCAGCGCTAGATCGCAGCGACAGTACGAAAAATGCCCCAAATGCGTCCAATTGCGTCCCGCTCCAGATATTTCATTTTACTCGATCGTGGAGTTCCAATTTTTTCGCTGTGTACTCTTGACAATATCAACAGTGAAACCCGTGCAAATTCGAGTAAGCCAACTTGACGAAAAGTCTCAAAATTCTCAATACTAAAGTCGCACTGCGCGCTTTTGAAATTGCCGCGATCGCGGCTCAACTTACGAGTGATTTATCTCAGGAACCGTTGCTCGCAGCGCTTCGCGGATTGTTTCTCCCGACAGGTGAGAGATTTCTCTTCGCCCTGGATATTTCGATCACTGGATTTGAGCGAGATTGGACTGAGTTACGATCTTTTGAAGTTTTGCATTTGAATGCGTCGTTTACGACGCATTCAAGTATGGGGCGGCTCTTAAAGGGTTAACTTTAATGAAATCTACTTACCACATAAGCAGTTTCTCTTTCGCTGATAACCAGTGGAAATCATCCACTAATAGGTTTGTAAGTTCACTTTCTCCCCTGCCAGGTCGGAGTGCCCATGCATCAATTGTGCAGTGTAATGGTTCCCTGTACATGGTCGGCGGAGGCGATGGTGTATTCTTTCAACAAGATGCCGGTGGTAAGTGGAGGGTAGCAAGCCGACTCAACGATGCAGACCTGCAATGTTCTGCGGCATGCACATTATCTGAGGACTGTATTGCCATTGTTGGCCCTTTCACAGCTATAGTCCACAACGTTGTAACCCAAGAGGTGCATCAATTGCTCCATTGTGGCATTAGCGCCTATCTCCCATCCCTTGCTCTGTTCAATGACTGCCTGGTATATAGTCGTGATGGAGGACGGATGTGGAAGCTAGACATGAATGTGTGAGTAACGAGCACTTTGCTGCGTGTGAATACGCACGCGCGCCCGTGTGTGTGTGTACTGCAGTACTGTATATCATTTTTAGCACAATGTACTTGCCAATATGTACTATGCAGATCTAGTGAGCAGCTACAGCAGCACACAATCCAGGTATCCACTAACCTCTACGGTGTATCTCTATCTCTTGTACTTTGCTGGCATCTTTTAAAGAGCATTCACATTATCTTCCGCCGTACTCGTAATGAACGAAAGAAATGGCGTAAATTTAGTAGTGTTGACGCCATTTGGGCCAAAGCAACGTATGCGTACTGACTCCCCATAGTACAGGTGAAATCTTGATAATTCGACCCTCAAAATGCCAGGAAAAAACTTCTAATTATCCGGACATTCTAATTATCCAAACATGAACCCACAACACAATATGTGTGTCAAAATGCTCTCATGGTCACGCAGAGTTGCGCTATGGACCTTGGACACAAATTTTACGGACACTGAACTGACCGGCACAGCCTGCTTGTGCAAACTGAACTGACCAGTACAGTGTACAGTGAACTTCGAATTACACTTTGCTAACTTCGAATTATCAGCACAAATCCCACACATTTTCTATGTAAGTGGAATCTGTGGGACTTCTAATTTACCGGACATGTCCAGTTTGAGGTTTGAATTATCAGAAATTTTTATGTGGGAATCGTAATTGATAGAAATCGGTCCTGGAAAAACTTTTTAAGCCATATTCGAATTATCAGGATTCCACCTGTAGTAGAGTACGTTCTGCACAGGGCTAGACCAGACTATTATTATTTGCATGTCTTGCAAGTGCACGGTGTGTGCGTGTGTGCGTGTGTGCGCGTGTGGATTTCATTGCGCAGCACTGTATTATGTTATGGCTATTGGGGGTTGTCATGTGCCTGTTGGCTGAGAGAGTATGGAGGATTAAGGAGGAGAAATGTTCGCATATCTTTTATAGCGGCCCGTCTAAAATAAGCGCCACATCACTTCAGGCCCTTTGTGTGGATTTTGTTCAAAACGCGTGAAAATTTAGAGCTCGCAGACTAGGCATTGGCAGATAATGCTCGAAAAGGTGGCAGATTCTGCTCGAAAAGCAGTGAAATTGGCAGAACCATACAAACCAAAGGCAATTCCTCGAATTCTGCTCCATTTCTTTATCCACATACCAAACATGCAAGAAACTTACCAGAAAAAGTACCGAATTCTGCCAATTTTTCTGCCGGCATTATCCGCATATGCCTATCACAGACTGCTAATCGCCCTGGCCAGCATTGCCGAAAATATGGTATAGGGTGGGTATGGGAAAGCATGGTGGGCATCTGAATGTAATAATTTTAGAGAGTTAAAGCACGAGCTGATTGTTTAGTAACTGGTGGTGTTAGTGGACATTATAGCGTAACTTCTAGTTTGGTCTTTTTTTCTTTATTAAAGTTAAGCCCTCACCATCATCTACACGGATTTCAAAAGCGTCGACCTCCATTTTGAAAACATGGTGGCTGGCCGCGGTACCCATAGGTCCACCTGGAAAGTCTTGAAGGGAAACGACTGGAGGCCGGTTTCGGAGGTAATTTTCGGCCAAACGGCAATCAAATCGTAAAATTTGAAGCGGACGATCTGTTGGTATCTATCGAAAGGAGACGTTGGTCCATAACAAATCTATGGAAACTACACCGTATGAACCAAGGAATTACGGTACGTTTGAGAATTTTGGTACATTAGCTGTACGCTGATTGGTCGATTAGCGCGACCGTTGACAAACGGGCGAGTCACATTTTGTACAGCGTTGGTGAGGGCTGAAGTTTACGCTTCACGTTTCGTTTTTAATTTCGAAGGGGAGATCATGCATGGCCAAAATGGCACTTCTCACGTTGCAACCTGACATTTCAACGCGACAGACGGTCAACTCACGGTGAAAAAGTGATTCAACACACGTTACTCACGTTCCAAATTGAAAGAACTTAAAGAGTAAACTCTCTATTGGGTGTATCTGAATGTACTCTAGGGGACATGGAAATCCAGTCGATTGACCGGGGCCGGCGCCCTCAGCGCGTACATAATGCTGCGCGCAGCACACAAAGTCATGTTGATCCGCGATGTGACCAGCACGCTGCATCGCATAATCATGCATGTTCCGCTTATCCACGGTTGCATGGTCAGCACCCCGGGGCCGCTAGACGTGCGACCGGATTTCCATGTCGTGATCCTCCAGATCGGCGCGAAAATTGCCAGGTGTGGACGGTGTTGTTGCACAGGTTTCCGACAAATTTGTGTGTGTATAGGTAGCCCGACCCCATCGCCCGGTTTCATGTCGGGGTCGGTGTCTGAGCATCGGCCGAAAATCGGGCTAGTGGGGACCAGGCATTAGAGATCAGATTTGTTTTCTTCACAACCCATCGCTGTAATGAAACATCATAGCTACGGACCTCAAGCAATGTTTTCACAGGTATATGGCCATTTTGAAATCACATTTCTGCGCAAGATTTGTTTTGTTTCAAGCCTATATTTAGACAAGAAACGACCGAAAATGCCATGGAATCACCAGCAGACCTCTATTTCCCCTGCCCTGCCTAATTACCCTGAAAGCCCAGGATAGAACGGAACACCTGTCATTTGTTTTTGCAAAACACTGTCGCAACCATAGACGGCCACAGTGTATTGCCTCTCCATTTTAGGAGACGGTAAAGATATGGGGACATATGACATGTTGACCTGGAATAACACACACACAACACACAACGTAGCTCATATAATTATTACCGTATTTCCCCGATTATAAGTCGCAGCCCATTCTCACGTCCGAACCAAATCGTCTCAATGCATGCACATAAGTATATAATATTACCTGAAGCCGAGTGAATATGGGCGAATATTCACTAGTATACAAACCGAGGCGAAGCCGAGGTTTGTATAACTAGTGAATATTCGCCCATATTCACGAGGCTGAAGGTAATATTAGACTTATACCTCTCCATATTCACCCTCTCGTCCCTAAAACCCGACAAACGAGTCCTGTTCGTCAAACATGTACTACACTGTAGTACGTACATGCACGCAGAACTAACGTTACTTCACTATCCTAAACCGACTGGCACGTTCTTGCATGAATCTGAGAACGATTTTCACGTGTACTTGATGACGGAATCTTGTTCAACCTCAGTGTTGATTGAGGAATGAGGATCGATCGTACACGTTCTGGTGCATGTGAGGTGACGACCTTGGAGAACACGCTCGTGCAGCTTTGTGGCGGGAGCCAATCGTTACCGGTTGGTGTCGATTAGAGGATTGCTTTGTTACCGGTTGGTTTCGATTAGAAGATCGCTTTTGGCGGGAGCCAATCATCGTCGGTTTCGATGGGAAGATTTGACCAATCTGGGAGCAGCGCGCCAATTCCGGAGTCGGTATATAAACAGCGAGCCAAGCCATTCTGCCTTCACTTATCTTCAAAGTTTGGCAAAGTACAAGTCGAAAATATGGCTGATGAACCTCCTCCGAAAAAACGGTTTGGCAGTGCAGGTGCTGCCGAGATCAAAACTTTGTTGAAACAATCAACACCGGCTGCTACAGCGTCAGCCACATCGTACTGGATACGAGTTTTCGATACTTACTGTAAAGAGAGCAGTATTGGTGCTGCGCTTGATTTCTCTTCAGTCAGCGCACCGGAGCTGGCGGATGCCCTAGAAAAGTTCTACGCTAACGTCCGTAAACAGGACTTTTCTGAGTACAAGCGAAATTCCTTGCTTGCAGCTCGATCCGCAATCCATCGACAAGTCACAAATCATCAGCCAATAGTGAACATTTTCACCGATGGAGCATTCCAGGGGGCGAACAAGGTTTTGGACGCTGTGTTGAAGGAGAAGAAGCGAGAAGGCCGGGAACCAGCAGTTCAACATAAGCGTCCGATCAGCGATAGGGACTGGGAGAAGATGAGTGAGTACTTCGCAGATACTGACACTTCATGCGACCCGCGGAAGCTATCGATGTATGTTTGGTTCCAGATATCGTCGCATTTCTGCTTGAGAGGTGGCGAAATCCAGGCTAAAACTGAGAAAGCAGGACCTCAGCTTTGAAGGCGAAGGCGACAATGTCCATATAACGCTTTCTACCGACTTCATGAGTAAAAATCACCGCGGTGGAATAAAAGGAACTGAGACAACATCATCTGGCTGCATCAAGGACCCACGGCAGGTGAGGATCATCAAGCGCTACGACAGTCAGGGAATTTTCTAGAACCGCCCCAACCAGTTTTCGACCGGTTGAAATTGTTGGCGACCAGTTGAAAAGTTACAAATCAGTTCCAACCGCCCGTACCTTCTGTGGGTGAATGGAGCTGCTTATATCTTTGCTACACTCCAGCACCAAGAAATCTGTTAAGTTGCTGTCGAGTGCCATATTTGGGTTGTATTTTGAAAAAAATTCCGCGGGGGACCTCCGGACCCCCCCCCCCCCCCCACTCTTCATTGGACCGTAACCGGTTGGAAATTCGTTCTAGAATATACCCTGCTGTCGAAGATCCACCCAGACGTTGACAGGCTGTTTCAGCGAGCTGCGTGCTCACCAGGTATGATACTCTCTAGCGATTTGCCTTGCTGGTTTTTCAAAAGCCCGCTCTCCCATAATAAGTTAGACTCCATGACGAAGATGATTTCAGAAGCCGCTGGCCTTTCTTATTCCTATACCAACCACTGTCTGCGTGCTACGAGCATTACTCACATGAAACGCTGACTGCTAGGTCCATACCACCGAAAGAAAAACATGAGGAGTTAATGAACAGCGACAGAAGAGTCCTTCATGCAATATCTTCCACACTTGAGTCAACATTTTGTTCAAACATATGCTGAACTCAGTAGGCAGTTGTTGTCCTATAAACAGTCGAAAGTCTAGTAGGGAGTCGGATTAGGATCTAGTGATATATTTATGACTCTGCATACTGGGGGTTCCACTACCTATAGACACCTAGGGGCATGCCATCGGATTGTTTACAGGATTTAGACTGCATATTGGACTACAGACTTCCTACCGAGTCCAACACTTATACACCACAAGGCTGCCTACCTGTGCACAATGAATGACAGATGGCTCACAAACATGGCTGCTGGTGAGAGAGCGTGTCAATGCAGTCCTGCATCCTGGAACACACCCTCACATGACCATGTGGCCATGGGAAGGAAACAAAGAGAGAAAATTAATGCAAAGCGTTAGGATTATGTGCATGCCAAAAAAGCATTACCCTCATCCATCAGAAAAGGACTTATCTGA